CTTTTTAATATTAATTTTAATAAATTTATTAATTTATTTTCGTACTTCGACTATCGCGAAACAGTTAATTTTCAATCACACGTATCTTTATTTTTATACTAACGTTGAATAATCCTATTTCGTCCATTGCACAACGAGCATTTCTCAAGTGTGCCGTAGCGAAAGGGTTAATTCCAGGAATCCAAGGTGCATTGAACTGCGATGATTTATCGGTATTCATGAATCGCGTGCTTGTTGCTTTTAACAGGTCATTGATATCGTAATTGTTCGGCACATTTTTAAAAGGCTGCGACGGTTTGTCACTTGGAAACGTGCTTCTTTATTTACAGCGAACGAACACCGTCGATCATGCCATAAAATGCACCTTCTGTAAAATAAAGAAAAAAATAGAATACTGCAGCAGTTGTTTGAAATTGCGTTCGCTTAATGAGTTATTAGAAGTGACATTAAACGCCGAGTTATAATGCAACGTAACATGCAAACTTTAACTTCCATTGAAAGAAACCAACAGAGATTTTAATGAACGCATGTTTAGTAACTATTCGTTTCGGTAGTATTCAACGTTTCAGTTTGTAAGACGATTGCTCGTTGTGTGCTATAAACGTGGTAAAAGCAGCGATATACTTTGAGAGCTCGGAATGTCAATACGAATAGTAAATGGTACCACGGATGACTAATGTTAGACTGCTACTACTTGCGTTTACTTTGATGTGCGGAACAAGTTTACGTAGCATCGTTTTACTTCAATTATTTGATTCTTATTATCTCGTTGCTATTTTCAAAATTGAATTTCTCGTAAAAAAGAGAAAAATACAGTTATGAATTTATATTCATTACTCACTTTTTTAAATTTCTCTTAGTGAATATTATCAATTCTTAAAATTTATGTCTTCGACTTACATATATATTTTGGAATCGTATAGAACATTATTGCTGAAATAAAAAAACAATTAGTGATAAAATTATGAATTTATATTCATTAATCACTTTTTTCTTTTTTCGTTAGTAAATATTACCAATTCTTAAAATTTATATCTTCGACTTATTTATATATTTTGGATTCATATAAAATATCGCCGAAATAAAAAAAAAATTAGCGATACAGTTATCAATTTACATTCATTAACCACTTTTTTTCACTTCTGTTAGCGAATATTATTAATTTTTAACATATACGTGTTCGGTTTATATGTTTTCTGTGCTCGTATAAAATTGGTCGAATCGAATATTTCACACAATTCTCTTCCCTTGTTCTCACAACGGAAAAAAAGAGGCATACAAGAGAGAGAGAGTATCAATCGAAGTTGGATTGTTATCGACGAAAGTTCTTCCTTTTTACGAATCTATTCCGGGGATTGTTAAGGGAATTGTATTTTCACGGGAACAGCGATAATCGCGTCGATAGGTCTGAGAAGGTAGGTAGCGTCAATTGAAACTTTTCGATGGAAATCTGTAAGCTATCCAGAGGATTTCGTGCCGAGTGGTAGTTATTCTCGTACTTGGCGCGCACTGGAAACCTCTCCTGGTGCTAATCACTCGCGTGGACTGTTTCAAACAAATTCTGGTGTAACATTCCGTACGTGGAGTTGTTCACAATTATGCAGGATATGCGGTTTTCGGGTAAACGGAAACAATGCGGATACCTCGCGGAACTAATGTAACCATAACTTTGCCCCCTGCGAGAGCCACTCAAAAGAGCGTGAATTATTAACTTCTCTGCGGAAATTAGAACCGTCGAAAACATCCTTGTAACATCGAAACTTGACAAACTTCGCGGAAAAATCTCATTCAAGTCGTTCCATATAAATTCTTGTACTTGAAAATTCAATCAGAGTATCTTGATTTTTGCTTAAAAACTGGGACCACGAGAAAGTCGTAATTTATAAAATATACTCGAATTTTAAAATACTCTCGATATTTAGAATATTTTATGAAAATCTATTGTTACATTATTCGAATAAAAAATTTATACTGAAATATTAGACGAAAATATCTACATGTACCTATGCCTCTACTCGTGGAGATTTGGGAAATTCTACGAAAAGATATTGTTTCAGACAAGATTTCGACAAATTTTTCAAATTTCTTTTCAACAAATATTTACTCGAATTTTAGGAACAATTGGACACGCTGAAACAATTAGTCACGCGTACAGACTCTGCGAAATTGAAGCAATTATTATCATGCGCGCACGCTTTTGTTACACCTGAGGCTGCGTCCTTAGGTCTTCCGGATTTTCCTTTGGATAATCTATTCGCCGCCGCTATTATTATGGTAAATACACTTCTCTTACCCTTATACCCAGTGCATCCAACGAATTTTCTGTTAATCTCCGCGTAACCGCAGGATAAATGCCCGTACCTGCCGGTCTTCGATATATTTTACAGGTGTTATCCCTATAAGTTGTTTCTGGGGAAAGACGGGCAGAGCTCTGTTGAAAGCATTCTCGACACCTTTAATATTTCCGAAAGAGAGACGAGCGACGAAAAAGTTTCAAAACGTATAAATATAGATAGCAAAAGTACGGAAAAGAATTCGTCAGATATTAGAATAAAATATAGCGATGGAGAAACCGAGTTGAATGTGAGTAATTTGCGCGAAAGAAGAAATAGAAAAATTGAAATAAAAACTATTATTTTAATTATTAGGTTCCTTGGGGTACGAAACACATAAGCGACGATGTAAACGGAAATAAGTACATAGAGACGAATTATCAAAATAATTTATTGACAAGTATGCTAGAATCGCACATTATTTCTGACTTCTGTCTAATCGGCCCAAAAGGCTGCGGAAAGTCCATCACTGTGCAGACATTAGCTAATTTAATGGGATATCAAGTGGAACCTGTAGTATTATATCAGGCAAGTGCTACGAATTTACATTTCTCGATAAACAAATTTTAAGTAAGAAGAAAATTATTTATAGTAACAGAAATGAAATTTTATTGGAAACAATTGAAATATCTTCCTAGGACATGACTTCCAGGGACCTAATACAACAACGAACCACACTGTCAAACGGTGATACGGTTTGGAAAAATTCGCCGCTCGTCGACGCAGCTTTGCAAGGAAAATTGGCTATACTGGACGGGATTAATAGAATCGATCCTAGCACTTTGGCAATTCTACATAGGTATATTGCCTTTAGAATTTTCACAACGTTCTCGGAAAAATCTCCGAATCAAATTCGCTACAGTGTGTTCCATTTGCTTGCAGATTGGTTCACGATCGAGAGTTACAATTGCACGACGGCACAAGGCTCGTAAGGGCGGATCGTTACGACGAGATAAAAGAGAAGTACAATAAATCTGACGTAGATCTACAAATGTCAGGTGTATTACGTATTCATCCATCCTTTAGAATAATAGCTTTGGCGGAAAAACCTATGCTTAACACAAACTCGAGACAATGGTTGAATTCAGAGCTACTCAGTTTGTTCCTGTTTCACGAAATGAGACCGCTTTCTAAGTCGGAGGAGCTTCATATCATTCGATCGAAGGTGTTTACTCTCAATTTTTAGATATTTCTTTGATATACAGGTAGTTCCCGCTTTTAGGAATTCATTTCTTTCGTAAATTGAGAATTTGTAAAGTGGAGGCTTTAAAATAAAAATTCGTTAGGAATTGTACTCTCAATTTTTAGATATTTCTTTGATATACAGGTAGTTCCCGCTTTTAGGAATTCATTTCTATCGTAAATTGAGAATTTGTAAAGTGGAGGCTTTAAAATAAAAATTCGTTAGGAATTGATCGCTTCCTGGCGATTTTTCGTGAATCGGGAATTTGTAAAGTGGAGGCTTTAAAATAAAAATTCGTTACGAATTAATCGCTTCCTGGCGATTTTTCGTGAATCGGGAATTTGTAAAGTGGAGGCTTTAAAATAAAAATTCGTTACGAATTAATCGCTTTCTGGCGATTTTTCGTAAACTGGGAATTTGTAAAGTGAACTCTTCAAAATAAAAATTCTAATCCATAAAATTCCTAAACTGAGAACTACCTATACTCAAAAAAACACTAATTTCAATATTGACCAATATTTTGCCTCGTTTCAGTACGGAGTGTAAAGTGGAGGCTTTAAAATAAAAATTCGTTACGAATTAATCGTTTCCTGGCGATTTTTCGTAAACTGGGAATTTGTAAAGTGAACTCTTCAAAATAAAAATTCTAATCCATAAAATTACTAAACTGAGAACTACCTATACTCAAAAAAACACTAATTTCAATATTGACCAATATTTTGCCTCGTTTCAGTACGGAAAGCCCTCCACGGCGTTACTGAATATTCTAGAACTAGCTCACGTGCTACGATCCTCCGGCGATCCAACTTTACAATCCTTAGCTGGCTTTTTCAGCACGAGGCAACTTTTAAGGATAGCAGGAAGGATGCAGAAATTCCAAACGGACGACGCTTACAGCGCGGTGCAACGTGCCTGTCTGGCTCGCTTCTTGCCGTCGATAGCGAAACAAGCGTTGGAAGATTGTTGCAATCGTGTCGGTATCGTTCGAATGGAAAGTACCGTGGATGCGAAGAACGTTAAGTGTCACGTTAAAGGGAACACCGTGCAAATTGGCGACACAGTCGTCGAACGTTACAATACGACAGCTTTAACGAAAGTACCTGATGTCCTGTTTTACGACGTTCCGCAGCACGTCGCGCTCTTAGAAAATTTACTGCAAGACTTTACCTTAAGACAGAATTTACTGCTGGTCGGGAACCAGGGTGTCGGCAAGAATAAAATCGTTGATCGATTGTTGCAACTTTTAAATAGGCCGCGGGAATATATACAGTTACACAGGGACACCACTGTGCAAACTTTGACCCTTCAGCCGATGGTTAGGGACGGGAAAGTGGTGTACGAAGATTCACCGCTGGTGCAAGCCGTGAAATTGGGACACGTGCTTGTCGTTGACGAGGCGGACAAAGCTCCGACTCATGTCACTTGTATTTTGAAGGTATTACACGCGTGTTCAACGTATTATTAGCTTGGCAACTAACATTCGCGATCCTTCTGTTTTCCGCGTTTCGCGGTGGATCCAGGGTGTTATTCACTGGGAGCCGGTTGAATATGGTCGTACCGTTGACTCAGAATTCTACTCGGCCGAAATTGACCGTGTTTAGGCGAAACTTGGAAAAAGTTCGTTTCGTCAACTCTTACGAAAAGGGATTATTCTGCAGCTCGTCCACGTATTGCAAGTCGAACGCTGCAGAAAATTGACGAATTAGGCTGAGAACGCCTAATTCATCCACCGTATAGCTGCTCCTAGTGATTACCACTTGCTCAGGTCGCTACAGCATTCTTTGGCTGGAAAACGTTTTTCCAAATTTGAGAACGCGAAAACGCACCTGTCCACGTATTCTGAAGCAAAAATGACCAACTTCTATCACCAAAGTATTGAAAAATTGCCTGAAATATGGCGAAAGATCGTTGAATCAAATGGGGCATTGTTAATTGTATAATTTTAACAAATAATTTTGTTCAGGAAAATGTGAAGGTCGCGAATTTAGTTGCCAACCCAATATATTGGATGCTTTACCTTATTTCATATTTTGTCACTGGAAGAAGGGTTATTGATTACACTTTTCTCTTTGCAGACCCTAGTTGAATCTGGTGAAATGATACTATCAGACGGCAGACGTATTGTATCCTCTAGAAGTTTTGATACAGGGAATTCTAATACAATACTCCTTCATCCAGACTTTAGAATGATAGTTCTGGCAAACAGACCAGGTTTCCCATTTTTGGGTCACGATTTCTTTGGAGCATTGGGTGATCTTTTCAGCACGCACGCTGTCAATAATCCTAGCGTTGAAAATGAAATTCATCTTTTGAAACAATACGGTCCGGACGTGGATAGAAATATAATATTGAAGCTGGTGAACGCTTTTGGTGAATTGAGAAACATGGCTGACCAAGGTTTAGTTTCTTATCCATATTCGACACGAGAAGTTGTTAATATTGTGAAACATTTACAGGTGAATTTTGTATAATTCAACGATTACTTCGTGATTTTTTGCATATTGATTCATTGCCTTATTTTTTGTTTTTTTTCTTTTTTTTTAGAAATTTCCTCAAGAAGCGTTGGGTAACGTGGTGCGAAATGTGTTCGATTTCGATCGCTATAGCGAAGAAACGTTTAATACTTTGGTATCTGTTTTACACAAACACGGGATTCCCATTGGAACCAGTCCAAATAATGTTACACTAGCGAAATTGTAAGATATTCGAGGAGAACAAGAATTTTTATTTCGTATTAACGAAGACAATAGCTAATTTTATACATGTAGTTTTATTTATCAGCGATATATTCGTATTTAAAGCAAAAATAAAATCTGGAATGGATAGAAAGTTTAACGCATTTTTTTTCCTTTTCCTTTGCAGAATATCGTTGCCAGAAAACAGAGTAAGCACTACGTGGAATTTTTCGAGTAAACAAGAAGTACTGAGTGTGCAAGAGAAATATGTTAAATTCAAATCACCGATAAATTTAACGCAAAAGGCATTGCCCTTAGATCGCGTTGAAGCTAGATCAGCTTTATTTACCGAATTACAAAGTTACTGGACGGTACCAATCAGTAATGTTGCCGTAGTCGGAGGTCTGTCGGTTATTAAAGGCACGAAAGGCGATGGAACGGATGATACAATTAATATTCTTGCGATGAATCCATTAAAGATCTTTAGTATGAATCAGGAATCAGATATGATTGAGGAAACTTCGTTACCCAGTATAATGAACTACGAGAGAGGCAGACCTTCGTTCACAATGGCGACTGATAAAGATCAAAATGTTTTAGTGCACGAAGAATCTGTAAGTAGTTCTTGTATAAAATGAAATTCCTCTTTTATTGATTATATATAAAAGATACTTGTTTCCAGAATAATATTGTATTACTGCTGAATTTAAACGAGGGAACTCTTCGAAAAATAGAATTGTCATCCTTCTTTGATCTTGCAACGGACAAGATATCGAATGCTTTTAGAAACATGAATCTTAACTGGAAGATGAAATCGGATTTGTTACAGTCCCATAATCAATTGGTCTTTTACACGTATAATTTCAACAAGTTACAAGTGATCAATTTACATTCCATGTGTTCCTATATGATGACATTACCGTTTCAAATAGAATCGATTCTGCTTGCATCAGAAAAGAAGTGGATGCTTCAAGATATGCAAAGGAACAAGTATGTTCTGAAAAAGTCTACAGACTCAGCTCCTTGTCCAAACATTTTGCAAGAAGTGGAAGAAACTAGTGAAAGTAATTTCCAAATTGGCTCATTTGTCAGTGGCACTAATGCTAGTTTGAATAACAACGTGCTCAGTGCAGCATTAAAGCAAAAGATAGATTCTCCAAACAGGCTGCTAGTGACTGACAATACCTATGCTAGTATTGCTGTTGGATTCCCTGATTTAGATAGCTTTAATGAACTTCATTCTTGGCCAAGGCCAGAAAGTAGCAAAAGCTTTACACCTCCTATTGTTATGGAGAATGGGCAAATCATTAGAACAATTGTACCTGAGGAAGTTCCCAATGACATTTTTCCAGAGACTGAGAAACATTCAGGAATAGCTGGTTACTTAGAAGTTGTTGATATTGTCAATCATAAACTACGTTATATACCCATACCAGAGTGTGTATTTCTATTTAACTTTAATGTTTCAAAATTGAATCAGTGTTTATATTCACTGCATTTATGTTTATATTTTCAGACCAGTCAATGTATCACGCGTAACTCAGGTGTTGTACTCAAACAGATATCCCTTGTACGTCTCATCTAAATCAAATCAAGATCTTGTAACGGTAGATGCAGGTGGCTGTGTTCGTTTTTGGGAGACGTCGTTAGCGAATATCGAGAGATCCCTCGACGCATGGCGGAAAATGGTAGGAAGTGACAACGAGTATTTGCAAATCACTAAAGAAAGGTATTCTGGTTTGGACGTAAGTGGTCCTAAACACGGTAAAGTTGACGAGAAAAATGAACCGCATGTTGGAGGCAACACATGGGCAGGAGGAACTGGAGGTATGCTATACCACGCATAAAATATGAATATGCTATAAAATTGAAACGTATAATGAATATTTCAGGGAGAGACACTGCTGGTCTTGGCGGTAAGGGTGGACCTTATCGTTTAGACGCTGGCCATACGGTGCATCAGCTTAGCGACGAGGAGAAGAACGCTATACCGGAACATGTAAAGAAAGCGGCGAGAGAAATGGGTCTTAAAGCGTTTAAGCAGCGCTTACAGGAGATTAACATGAGCGAATACGATCATAAACTTTATTCTCAGTTTAGTGACGCTGTTCAGCTACAGGTTAAAGCGTTGAGGACTATAATAGGTGACTGTCTACCTGCTGTCAGGTTAACATTATCAAAAAGCTACATAAATTTCAATTATTTCTTACAGATAGTCTACAAGCGAAGAGTAAAGAACGTCAGTGGTGCAGGCACCAAACATCCGGTGAATTGGACGATACCAAGTTGATAGAAGGATTGACAGGGGAGAAAACGATTTATCGTAGAAGAGCAGAGAAAGAACCGGAACTCGGTACTCCGCTGACAAAACCGAAGCGTTTAAAGTTAGTGGTGGATGTATCTGGTAGTATGTATAGGTTTAACGGACACGACGGACGTCTTGATCGAGAGATGGAGGCTTGCATTATGGTAATGGAGGCGTTTAGCGGATACGAAGGGAAGTTTCAGTATGATATCGTTGGTCATTCCGGTGATGACTATCATATTTGCTTTGTGAAGCATACTCAACCACCGACGGATAATAAGCGTAGATTGGAAGTAATAAAGGTAATAGAAGTTACGGAATTGTTTGGATTAAACGAGAGGTGCAGTATTAGGAACGGGGGTAATTTCTTTCAGACGATGCATGCACACTCGCAATTTTGCATGTCTGGCGATAATACACTGGAGGCAACTCAGCATGCGATCACGAGCCTTGCGAAAGAAGACGCCGATGAGTCTATCGTCGTTGTACTATCCGATGCCAATTTCGAGCGTTACGGTATTCGTCCAGAGAACTTTGCGAAAATTCTTACGTCGAATCCTAACGTGAATGCCTACGCCATATTTATTGGGTCTTTAGGCAATCAAGCGTTTATGTAAGTATGCGTCGTTTAATATCTGCAAAGGGATTTGGTATTTGTTAGCAGACAGGAGTAACAATATGTGTGTTTATCTTCAAGTTTGAGCCAGAAGATTACCGGGGGACGAGCGTTTGTTTGTATGGATCTCAAGGACATACCTCGAATTTTGCAACAAATATTTTCTGCTTCTTTGTTGAGCACTACACAGTCCAGTTGATGTACATGAGCAAATTACTTTGTACCATTTTATAAATGTTTGTAATGGTAAATAACTGAGAAATGTATTATAATATGTATTTAATATAAATCTCTGTATATGTATGGTGCTGTATATTGTGGTGGTTGTACGGTGAAATAATTTTCCAAGTTGGTTATTAAATTATTAGTTTTGCATTAATTTGATGGTTTTTTTATTGCATTTGTTTTAGAAAAATATTTCGATAAATATCCAATAGATCGAAAGATGCGAGAATTGTCTAGAGATTGTTACTACTGCAGTTGCTACGTTCACGTCATTAAACATAAACTTTAACAAACACGTTGATAAATTTTGCAAAAGAACGTTAATTTCACAGATTCGACAATAACAATAACTTTTTACCTATAACAACACTTTTTATAGAGAAGTAAAGAATAATTGCACAATAAATTGAAATTTAACGTAGTCTAACAATTTGCAACATAGCGACGAATACTATCGAAGTTAACCGAAAGCACACGAAGCATGTAATTCAAAAACGTATCACCATTTTCTTATTTGACCTATCACTAAAATGTCGATAACACAAAAAAACCACGTAAAATTGCCATTGTAAACATTCTAATTCTATACCAACACGTAAAACTAAAAATAAAAATACCTGCAGAAAAAAAGCAGTACATTTAATCCAACAGTTCGGCAGCCGTAATATTTTTAGAAAGGAACGATCCAGGAACGTCTTGTTACACTTTTAGACATCTTTCCACGTGTTTCCGTTACGAAGTACACATATATCGTGCAATGTTCGCGCATCTCGAGCCACGAATCGTCGCTGTAACAGAAACGGTTGCCGAAAAAGCACAGGGGTGACGGAGTGGACCGAAGTTGGCCGAAGATCGTCGAGACGAATCGAGAGCGTCGAGTGGTGTGGGGCGTGCATTTGTTAGTCGCACGCCGGTCGTTGAATGGAGCGGGTGTGGAGACGCGTACAAGGTGCCGAGCGTCGCGGTGCCGCAGCTCGCTGTGGCTGCCCTGTACAACCGTGTCAGCTGCACGTGGACCAACGCGCGAAACGAGGAGGCGGTCGGAAATCTCGCGGTGGACCGCAGACAATCGTGTGCGGTTGTCAGGTGCAGCCATGCCCTGTACATCCGGTACTGATTAGGGTTCGTCGTAGTCGACCCGCGGTTGGCAACTGTGACTGTCCACCGGAATCAAAGTTTTGCCCGCATGTACCGCGTACATCGGCCGTACGAAGGTTTCGAAGGTAAATAAATACCGTTCGTTTGGTCGTTTTGTCCCCCTTCTTCGCCAGCCTGTCCAGTTGCTCTTTTCTCTTGCCGTTTCTCTGTTGCTCTTTCACGCGACAGCGTACGCACACGTAGCAAACCATTGTGAGTCAAAGGGGCGTAAGGAACGAAGGTCAAAGTAACGGGCATGTTGATCGTATTTACAAAGCCGTAAGCGAAGCTCGGAGCGGTGCAAGTATAGTTAACCTGGCGCCCTTTTCTTGAGAGAGGGTAATGCATGTACTTAACGCAGGAAAGGTGAACGAGGGGATTACGCGTTTCCTGCTAGAGGGGGGAGGAGGGTTCAAGTGGTCGAAACACTTTCGCGTGATTTTATTATGCCAGATAAGCGTATAAGGTTATTGACTGGTCGAGCGGAGCCGCGAAGGAGGCCGAGAAATAAATCGAGTCTCGTTGCATTATAGCCTTATATTCTACAGGTAGCTTGTTAGGAGAGTGCATGCAACTTCGTTCTCGTGTATTTTTTTTTTTGCTCTTTTTCTTTTCTTTGATGTTAGATTAGAGGTTAATGTCATACCCAAAGGAATTCTTAACGACAGCTTTTTTTCGTAAGAAATTTTCCTCCAATAATGAAACGTTCGTGATATAATGTGAATGTGTATTGAACGATGATATGATTTTCTCAAGCAATATCATAACCTGTGTTAATTCCTGTGTATATTATGTATATGGTGGTAATTAGTATCCTGTTATACTATTGATAAACGGTATTGGCAAATTCTTCGCAGATTGAAATGAATAAATAACCAAGCTGAATAGTTTATTTCACAAAGTGTCTAAATATACTTTATCAACCTGTACACTTCTATTTTTCATATCGATTTCGAAGTTAATCTAAGGAAATGTCGGCAATATAACGTTTACTCGTTAATTCGTTCGATTAATTGTTGAAACGTTTTTTTCAAACGTGGATTATGTTTCAAGTGCACGATATTAAAGTTATAATTATTTTGTCTCTGTTCGTTTGGACTTTTCCAATGGAAAATCGATCGGCAAAAGTGTATTTTTCGTGGAACGTGAAAGTGAAGTACATTAATGTGTTTACGTTTGCTTTGCTTTTATCAGCTTCACGTATGATGGAGGACCACATGTTCCGCTGATAAATAATTTTTTTCGATTTTAGACGTACATTTCTGTGTAACGATTAGCAACATTGACTTTGCAAATTTTTTTTTTAACTCGTTTCGCAAAGTTTGCCAATTTGTATAACGAGGATATATGTACAACGTTTAATCTTGATTAATTTACAAGGAAAGGCTGTACTAATTTCTGATCTTCGAAAAAATGCTTTTTAGTGGCAGATACTTGATACAATTCGATCAGTGCACCATTTATATAGTTCGAAGTTAATAAAAAATTGCTCCTCTGCGATTTTATTCTTTCCAGTGGCGTTTTATAAATGTCTCGTATCACTTTGAATAATTCTCCCCCTTTGCATGGACTTTCGTAAATTTTCCTCCTTTCTACGTGTCGCTTTGGCACTTTATTATGTTGTCACGCGAAAATCGTGAAAAATTGCTAGCTATCAGTGCATTTTTGCTCGTTTCGCGTTTTACTTTGTCGTTAACGTCTTCAATATCGCTATTCTGTCGCTGTAGACGTTTTCCTTCTTTGTTACTGGAAGTTCCTAGTCTAAGATCATGAGTAAAAAATTACAAATAATTTAGTAGACGACGATTACACTTATTTTCTTTTTATTTTAAAGATGGTGGTAATAAACATATTTGGTCTAATATCTCGAAAATTATTAGGGATACAGGAATACTGTAAATTAGGGGATCTTAGATTTTTCAACGATAAAATTAAAAAGACACAAAATTATTAATTTTTTAAATTTTCAAACTTCTTGTTGAGAAATACAAAATTCGTGAATTCATACTGTTAGTTTTCGATATATTCATTATATTATTTTTTTTTTTTAATTTTAAAGATGGCGGTAATAACCATATTTGGTCTAATATCTCGAAAATTATTATAGATAGAGGAATACTGTAAATTGGGTGATCTTATATTATTCAACGACAAAATTTAAAAAATACAAAATGATTAATTTTTTATTTTTCAAATTTCTTGCTGAAAAATAAAAAATTCGTCAATTTCCAATTTCCCCTATATTTGGTAGTTTTCGATACTATTCACTATCTCCGTCTTTGAGGGCGATTTTCACCCCTTCGACGTTGACGATTAAAAAAAAAAAAAACACGTGTCAAACATTTTTTTTTTATTATGTACCAAAGTTTCATCAATATCGGTAATTATCCCCTGTGAGTTCGAGAGAACGAAACGAGACTCTGTCAGGTCTGCCTAAGCCACAATAGATATCATCAGAACCCGACAGAACGTATTTATGATTACAAGAAGAGCCAATCGCATTTTTGTAGGACTTATCTAGGCTAGAACGAGGTAAGTTCGAGACAGCTGGCGATGGCGGAATGTATTGAAATCGAACGAGGATTCAGTTTGGTACAGTAACGTTTTCGTATATACAATATGGCTGGAACGTTGTCGGAGCGACCCAGAACTTGGTCGAATCGAAGCGAAGTTCGATAAGAAAAATTAGAACTGGTTGATTTGAAAAGAACGCGATAGGATGTTGATCGTACTATATTGAATCAATTCAGATCATAACTGGACCCGTGTATGGCTTGGGTATGAATGGTTCTCATAAATTATCGGTCTATAGGTCACGATGTCAATGGCACTCGCTTCATGGAACTTGGTTCTCCGCATAAGCAAATCGTTCTCGTGTCGCATTCGAATGCATTCGGCAGTGTAATTGCCAGAAAAGTCTGCTTTCGATCAAACCAGTTTTCGGATTCACGGATTTGGTAGACTTTTGCATTTTTTTTTTTCGTTGCAATTATCGTTTCGGGTTTGATCGTGAGGGAAATTCTCGGTGTTAGAGGATTCTACTGTTTTACAAGGTGAGAAAATCGGAATTTTACTGCTTAGCCAGCTGATATGGTGAACCACAATTACTCGTGACACTGAGTTTCTTCGTTAAGCCTTCTATTCAAGTTACCTTCTGATTCTGCAATGGTTCCATAGGTAAGAATGTATTTTTTTTAACATAGTATCAATTTTCTAAGGATAGAACTAGGGTGGATTAATATCATTTTAGATTATCTGTGTATAAGTAGGGTTAAAAGTATCTTGTGGACTTCTAAGTGTAATATATAGAATATGTATGTAGTCAGATTGAGTGGAAATCCAATTAAACCTACTCTGTTCCTTCCCTGCGGCTAACAAAATTACTTTCATTATTCATTCGCTAATCGTGCCGGCGATTATAAGTGCGGTCTAAATCGTACTTTAATTTTGACGCTTGTATACGTGTATAATGCACGTTTTTGTTATAATTAGGCAATTCCTCGACCCTTTCGTGATCGTATTAGTTTTTTTAGGAATTTGTTATTTTTCTACCAACCATCGCGTTTGTAATGGATTTTAAATTCAGATCAATTTTTATTTGAGTAGTGAAGTGAAGTACCACTGGTCACGAAATGGTTAAGAGTGACTTATGCTCTTTCTGATTTCACCTCTGCAACTATCGTAACTTAAAACTTCGACGTCACAGAAAAACATGCGACAAATTTAATTGTTCCAGTCATTGACCTAGGTCACTGTCACAATCATCACTACTAAATTGTAATCTAAAACTTTGATGTAAAAACACCGATACTCTCACCTTTTTCCCATGCACTATTA